GGCCCGCTATGGAGCGCCCGGGGCCCAGTGAAGGTGGGTTCGGTGAGGCGAACCCGGGCGAGGCGGACCGGGCCGGGGGCTCCGAGGGTGCCGCACTAACCGGGCCCCCTCTCTCTTCTCCTCTTGCCCCAGTGACAGGCTCGGACGCATCGGGACCGGACCCGCAGCTGGCGGTCACCATGGGCTTCACGGGGTTCGGTGAGTGACTGCCCCGGGCGTAGTCCCGTCTCCTGCCGCAGGCGTTTCAAACCCGCAGGTGGGGAGGGGCGGGGAGGCCCAGCGGTCACCTCTGCTCCGCACCTCCCGCTGCGCCGAGTCCAAATTGCTTGCGCCCTAGTGTGTATCTTGCAGTTTCTCGACACTTGTCCCCATCCGTTTCCTAACTCCTGCCTGTGTGCTGGGACCAGCTCCGGTGACGACGCTCTAACCAACCGAGCTACCGGCCGGGGCTTAAGTTCTTTTTGATTCAAGTCTTTCATCTGCAGAATCGTCACTTTAGTCTCTCAGTAGTAGTCTTGGCAAGCTGTAGGTTAAAAAGGTATCAAACAAAGATGTAGTCATCTGTTGAAATCATTACTGTTAGTAAAAATAAACGTAAATCGTTTTCTCACCTCATTTCTGTTGGGTCTTGGAGAGAGCAAATGCCAGACTAATGTGTACAGATTTTTTGTTCATTTTTTCACACATTTATTTTGGTAATATCTTTTTTTTTAAATTTTAATATATCTTTATTGATTTCAGAGAGAGGAAAGGAGAGGGAGAGAGCGAGATAGAAACATCAATGATGAGAGAGTCATTGATGGAGCCCGCAACCTGGGCATGTGTCCTGACCGGGAATTGAACCCGGATCACCTGGATCCCAGGTGGATGCTCAAGCGCTGAGCCACTCCCGGCTGGGCTATTTTGGTAATATCTTGAGCCACATTTTTACTACCTCCTAGATTCTCATGTCTTCAAAAGTACTATATACTTCTGTAGGAATGTACAGTATTTTTGTTTTAATTCTTTAAAATAGCTTTCTCTCTAACTTCAAAAGTAAGACACATAAATAGCAGAAAATATAAGGAACACATAAATGAGAGAAAAGTAAAATCACTCATACTCTCATCTAGAAATCAAGGATTAAAAGTTAGTGTATTTATTAAGAAAATTAAGATCATGTATATGTACAGTTTTATATTTTTATTAATTATATATAATTTAATTTTTTGTATTGTGAGGTTCCCCCCATATTATAAAATGCTATTCCAAAACATGATGTTCAATGGCTGAATAGTAGCTCATTTAATAGAAGTGCCATAATTTGTAATACTTTTAACTTTCCCCTACATAGTTCTAATTCTAACTTTTTTCAATAATGCTACAATGAACATCATTATAAATAAGTATCTCCTTTGTAAAAGGAATTTTATGGGCATTTCCATAGGGTAGCTTTCTAGAGGGACTACTTTAATAAAAATATAAATATTAAAATGTAACCAAAACATTGTTTATCTTTAAAATTTCTTGACACATATATTATCATAATCCCCTTCAGAAAGGTTGTTTCAATTTACACCAAAGTCAAACCTTTTTTACCATATTTTTTGTTGTTTTGTTTAATATGTCTTTATTGATTTTAGAGAGAGGAAGGGAGAGGGGGAGAGAGAGAGACAGAGAGAGAGAGAGAGAGAAACATCAGTGATGAGAGAGTCATTGATTGGCTGCTTCCTGCATGGCCCCGACTGGGGATGGAGCCCACAACTCGGGCACATGCCCTGTCCCAGAATGCAACCACTATGTCCTGGATCCACCACTGGGCCATATTCTTACCAACGGAGTAGGTGTTACTATTTTTTAAAAAACAATGAAACAACACAACAACAGAAACAATGAAACAAATATAAAATTGCTTCCAAGCTCATTCAGGTTGTTGGAATTTGGCTCTTTATGGTTTTAGGGCTGAGGCCCTTCCTTGCTGGCTGTAAGGTGTGAGTCTTTTAGCTTCTTAAAGTACCTGCATTACTTGTTGTCTTGTGTCCTTCATCCTCAAACAAACCACAGAAACTTCAGTCCTTCTCACACTTCAGATCTCTCTGACTTTTGCCATGTTTGCTCTGCATCTTTGCTTGTGATTAGATTGGGCCAGCAAGGATAATCTCTATAATTTAAAGTGCATAACTTTAATTACATCTGCAAAGTTCCTTTTGCCATGTAGGGTTACATGTTTACAGACTCCAGAGATTAGGGTAAGCACATTTTCCATTCTGCCTACTATACCAGTGCTGTGGTTTTAAGGGGTAGTAGCGTCTAAATGAATTAGAGGAGGATGGGAAAGTTGACTGGTTAATGGCACTTAGTAATGAGATTGTCAAAAAAATTCCCTAGGAGTTCGGCCAGCATGGCTCAGTGGTTGAGCATCAACCTATGAACCAGGTCACAGTTCCATTTCTGGTCAGGGCACTTGCGGGGGTTGTGGGCCCCATCCCCAGTAGGGGGCATACAGTAGGCAGCCAATCAATGACTCTCTCATCCTTGATGTTTCTCTTTCCCTCTCCCTTCCTCTCTCTGAAATCAATAAAAAAAAAAAGACTTTTTCTTCAAAAAAAATATTTTTCTGATATTTTATGATTGTCTTGTAGCCATGATATAAATTAGACAGAGTGGTTTTTGGTCAATCAATCAATATTTATTGAGCACCTGACATTTGGCCAGCTTAATGCTAGAAGATCACAGTCTGCTACTTATTCCTATTTTAGGAAAAAAAGCTCGCACATTTGATTTGGAAGCAATGTTTGAACAAACCCGAAGAACAGCTGTGGAAAGAAGTCGGAAAACACTGGGTAAGAAATCAAATCAATTATCTGTTGTTCTGTTGTTTTAAATACTATGTACACCTTACACAAGGATATTGATAGTTATTGTAAGACTGAAAAAAAGTTCAAAATTGTTAAAAGACCATATGTACTGGTTCCTGTGGAAGCAGAGATTAAAAAAAGAAAAAAAAAAAAAAAACCCATGGTAAAAATTGCATCTAAATATGGTAAGAAGGTCTGAGTGCTAAAATCTTTTAGAAGTGTGTACTGTGAACAAAACAAGGATTCTACATTAATATATAAGAATTAGAATAGCAGTTTCTTTTTTTACCTCTCCTTCTGCCTCTATTTAATCCTCATTTCATGTTTTCTTTCCTGCTTACAGCGGAACCAGTATTTGGAAGGCTGGGCGAGAGGTGGCTCTCAGAGCTGTGTACACCACTGACTGTTGACCCAGACAGTATAGAAAATTGAGACACACAGTGAATGTGGCTGCTGCTGTTGAATCCCTGCTTTAATGAGTTTTATCAGACATTTAATGAAGGCCTTAAATTCCAGACTGTCTTTTTTGATTCTAGGTGGTTGCCAATTCTAGGTACCACCTCGGGGTCTTTGAAGGAGACTGCTCCTCTACTGCTTTCTTTGGAGCTGCTTCAGATCGTTCTTACACTAGATAGAGCAGAAGGGGCTAGAAATCTGACAGGACTCGTGTAAAAATTTAAGTGAATGTTCTGGTACTTGTCATTGTTGGTTTTAAAATGATAAATTAGCTCGGCCAGCATGGCTTAGTGGTTGAGCGTCGACTTGTGAACCAGGAGGTCGCAGTTTCGTTCCAGGTCAGGGCACATGCCCAGGTTGTGGGCTCGATCCCCAGTAAGGGGCGTGCAGGAGGCAGCCAATCAATGACCCTCATCATGGATGTTTCTACCTCTTTTTCCCTCTCCCTTCCTCTCTCTGAAATCAATAAAAACATATTTAAAAAAATAATAAAATGATAAATTATATAGCAGTAGTATTTAATATTATGAAAGTGAGCTTCACATGAAATATTTTTGGTCTCTGGAAGAATAACAGTTTGTGTTTTTTTTTTTATTGTGGAAAGATAGCTCTACATATACTATTTATTGTGTGAAATGTGAAATTTCAAACACATACAAAAGTATAGTAATAAAAGCCCATGTACCTATCACGCAGATTTAAGTACCATAATAGTTCATGGCCAGTGTTTTTCCAGATTATCTGCTGACAAGCAGGCAGTAAAGGCTGTGCTTTGCAGCCCTTTGGAGAGAGGCAGGCTCACTGTTGTGTATAAGATAGGTGGTGCTCGTTAGATAATTTTGATACCTAACCCAGGTTTGACTGCCCACTATCAGAAAGCCAATAATCAGGATATGGACTGGTGGAAGGGAAATGGTTTATTCAAGAGCTGGCAGCTTGAAAAGATGTTGGACTCTTGTTGCAAAGACAGTTTGGCACAGGCAGGGGTTTCTATGAGGAAGGAGGAGGAAGAAATAGAACAGAACAAGGAATCAAAAGGAGGGGATCGAGAGTTCTCTGTTGAGGGGACTACATGCAAGGCAACACAGTCTGTTCAGACAGCTGGTTGAAGGTCAGCAAATCTGGAGTGAGAATATGTGAAGGTCTGAGTCTGCTTTTGAAGTTGGTTCCTAGAATTCTAGTGCAAACAGGCTGTTTATCTGCAGTCACATATTAGTTAACAGGTCATCATTTACAAAAACAAAATAATGGTGGGGTGGGCTCCTATTTTAGTCTCCAGAAAGTCTGGTCCATCAAAGAAAGATCTAGTTGTGGAGCCCCAGTTCACTGCTCTGGGACTTAGTAGCCCTGTTACTTAACTTCTCTGTGCCTTAACGTCCTCAGCTATAAAGTGAGGATAATAGATAGTACCTACTTCTATGCAGTATAATTGACATTTACTAAGATAATAGAACTTAAATGTTTTCACCAATAAAGAAAAAAAGAGTAAATATGTGGGGTGGTGGATGTTCTCATTGACTCCATTTGGAGAATCCTTTCATAGTTTATATGTGTATTAAATCATCACATTGTTCACTTTAAATGTCTTACAGTTTTGTCAGTTGTACCTCAATAAAGCTGAAAACAATAATATCTACTTCAGAGGTTTTCATGAAGATTAAAGATTATAGGATGTGCTGAAAATACACTGTAAGCTCCATGTATTAGCTGCAATTGTTTTTGTTGAATTAAGGCTGATATAAAGATGCTTTTGGTTACTTGCAAAGAAGTCATAGAAGACCTAATCTAAAATGGCTCAAATAGGAAAAATTTAGTCTCACACATGACAAGAACCCTGCAATGGGGCTCTTCCACCTTCTGAGCTCTGACATGAAGGATGTGACGTTTTCCTCCCTTTTCTGCTTTGCCAGCTGTAGTTGGCTTGTCCTAAGCTGACTGTCCTCATGGCCCAAAATTGTCAGCAGAACTTTTTTACATGCAGGTGACCACTTTCACGGATTGAAAGGAAACGTGTATCACTTTTTAGGAGGAAGGAAACCTTTCTCAAATGTACCTTCAGCTGACTTCCCTTCACATCTTGCTGGCTAATATTCGTGTGGCACATCAGTTCCAAAAACACCCCTTGGCAAGAGCAATATGATTGACTTGGAACTGAGATTTCACCTGCTCTGAGCAGAGGGGCCCAGCATCTCCTGAAGCACATTACTGCCTCCTACCTGAGGAAAACTTTTTTCTGAGCAAGGAAAAAGGGGGACAATGTGCCTTGGTGGGATTTCCTGATGAGGGTCAGAACTGCCCCTAAGACCTGAGTCTAGAGTCCAGATGTCTAAATGTGGTGTCCTCTTGCCCCCCAACATTGCCCCTGCCCTGGAGGGTATGGAGGGATTGACTGGAGAAGCTGGTTGACGGTAGGAGCCAAGCAGGCCCATTCTATTTTTCTTTTTAAAATATATCTTTATTAATTTCAGAGAGAGGAAGGGAGACGGAGAGAAAGAGAGAAACATCAGTGATGAGAGAGTCATTGACTGGCTGCTTCCTGCATGCCCCCGACAGGATTGATTCCGCAACCCAGGCATGTGCCCTGACCCAGAATCGAACCTTGATCTCCTGGATCTTAGATCGGTGCTCAACCCCTGAGCCACGCTGGCTGACGAGCAGGCCCCCTCTGAAATTTGGACATTGTCCTCCTGTTTCTTCCTTTTTTCCAACTTCCTCAAGCTATCAGAGTATAGAATTGCTGACTTGTAACCTGTCTCAGCAAAAGGCAGAAACAGAAATCATGAGCTAGAGCTGGAGCATTTGCCTTACCTCTTCCCGCACAGTTGTGTCGTCCGTGTGTGAAGTAAAGGACTATCCAGTTACTTGTGGACGTTTGCTGGTTGCCTGCTTGTTCCTCCTCCTCCACATCCTAACAAGGAAAGGCCCTGAAGAGAACAACATTCTGATTAATAAGTGCCCTTAGATTCTGCTTCACTTTGGGTGTATTGTTTTTTATTAAGAAAAAAAGTTAGAGATTATCTCAGGTTATTAAGAATGCCAGCATTTCAGAACCAGACTGTTCATAGAATTCATTTACTTCCTGTGTGTACTGCATTGCAGAGTGAGATGATCAGAGGAAAAAGATTAAATTTCTGTGGATAAATTTTTGTCTTTCCAAGGTAAACAACTCTACAAACCTAATGTAATCTAAAGTTTCTCATGATTTTGGTAGGAAGTCTCTGACCAAAAATCCAGTGTGGGAAATTCAGAAATGATCAAAGTGCTGAGTTTATGATTTAAAACATTAAAAGCCCGGCCAGGCGTAGCGCAGCAGTTGAGCATCGACCTAGGATCCAGGAGATCAAGGTTCGATTCCCGGTCAGGGCACATGCCCAGGTTGCAGGCTTTATCCCCAGTCGGGGGTGTGCAGGAGGCAGCTGACCAATGACGACTCTCTCATCATTGATGTTTCTCTCTTCCTTTCTCTCTGAAATCAATAAAGGTATATTTTAAAAAAAAAAAAAAACATTAAAAATAAAAGGTGAAATTATGTGGGAATGTAAAGTACAACATTTAGCAATATAGTTAATATAGTTAATAAAGCAATATAGTTAATAATATTGTCATAATTATGGATGGTGCCAGGTGGGAACATGAAATATCAGAGGGGAACACTTTGTAAAGTACACGATTGTCTAATGCTGTGGACCTAAAACATACAAAATAATATTGAATGTAAACTATGATTGAAAAAAATAAAAATATGACATTATGTAAAATCTTACCTTTGAATACATTTTTTTACTTGTTACCTTCCACATCTTTTTACGTAGTCCAATCCTGGTTCATATTCTGTTAACATGCTAATTTTATTCAGCATATCTGTTAATATTTTCCCATACTTATACATTTTTTATCGCTACTCATATTGGCTTTTTTTTTATATCAGTTGATATATAGTAGTTCAATTATTTTCCCAGTGTTGGGCATTTAGGGTGATAATTTTTTGCTGTTAGTGGTAACACTCTTAAGTTACATTTTCATGAGTGCTAATTTTCAGCCTTTTTAATACTGACAAATTTTGAAGTCTAACTGTTGGGAATTATTTTTATCTTTTCAGAAGCAAGAGAAAAAGAGGAAGAGATGAACAGAGAGAAAGAATTAAGAAGGCAAAATGAAGATATTGAACCAACATCTTCAGGCTCAAATGTGGTCAGAGATTGCTCTAAATCGTCTTCCAGGTGCCTACCTTTCTCAAAAGGATTCTATTAAACTCTCATTTTCTAGGTGTTCATGACGCAAGTTAGGCGAAGATCCTGATATTAAAAGCTTGCATAATTTCCCCCATTTTGGGCAATAGGATAGTAGATCCCTAGGATGGTGAGAAGGCCCTGTGTCACACTGGATTAGTGGAGGTTTTCTGAAGTATTCCAGGTGTAGTATTGAAAGCTGTGCCTTTTAATTTATTTGTTTATTTTTTAATACTCACTGGAGGACGTTTTTCCCATTGCTTTTAAGAGAGTGGAAGAGAGAGCGACATCAATGAGAGAGAGCCTAGATGAAAATAAAAAGGGAAATCTGGTTTTTTTAATAGCTGTGCCAGGCATCATTGAGGTGCTGGAGACACAGCTGCGAACACAAAGGACAGATTTGTGTTTTTTTTTTTAAATATATCTATTGATTTCAGAGAGAGGAAGGGAGAGGGAGAGAGAGAAACATCAATGATGAGAGAGTCGTGGATGGGCTGCAGCCCGCAACCCGGGCATGTGCCCTGCGGGGGAATCGAACCCGATCGCCTGGATCCTAGGTCCACGCTCAACCGCTGAGCCACGCCCGGCCGGGCAAGGACAGATTTGTTTTCGGGGAGATTACACACAGGAAATACTTTATTAAAAGGCAGTGCCGCCTTTGAGTCCTGTGAAGAATTTGGTAGATGACCTGATAAAGTTAGGAATGCGGTTCCCGGGCCTCCGGGAGGGGCGGGGCGGGGTGGG